AAGCCGGTGATTCGGATGCAACGCAATGCGGAGCGCGATTGCATCGCATTATAAAGAACATTAACAATTTATCGTACGGTCGTTTTCGCCGAACCGTGAACGGTGATAAATAAAGACGGAAGGGGCATTAAATCGCACTCGGGAAAGAGAGAGAAGGAGAGAGCGGCGTTCACCCAATTTTCCGCGAACTAGCTTGCCGGTTAATAGCGAATAATAATAATGATAACGGTAATAAACGTTCGGCGCGCGGATCACTTTCTAATTCGTCGCAATTGTTTCGACGTGCTCTCTTTATTCCCTCGTGTCTTCTGGTCGCGATCGTGACGCGGCGATAACGGCGTGCGACAATACACCCCGATGTGTGACGGTTTCGCCAAATTACGGGGCGGGGCAGGGGGGACGAGCGCAATTTTCCAGTGCGCTCGCCAGTGGGCGCGAGTGTCGTAATCATAATTGTCGCGGAAACTTTCTGTCGCCGCTCCGGAATAGTCGCGCTCGCGCGCGCAATTGTAACGCCGTAATTGCGCGAACAACGCGACGCAAGTCGGTCGAGGTCGCGAGCGTGATAGGATTTTCATAGCGTTTCCGTGTAAATTACATGTCTCACCGGGGGATTCGAGTGTGAGCCCGCACGACCCCGATTCTCTTTTCCACTTCGTCATATCGAGTTCGGGGAGTTTCGCGATCGGTCGGTATCTCACGACGGGGTGACATGGGTATTAGATGGGCGTCCTTCATCATCGGAATTTATTGCTCTGGCATCCCCGATTGGGACCCAGCAAATTGGGAACAAGCAAGAAATCTCTTTTTTGATGATGAGCTAATGCCGAGCACGTTGATGAGCTTTTTTAAAGTTCCTGACGAGCAATAGTTGTTCGTCAGGTATTTTAAAGGAGCTCATTGTAATGTGCTCCAAAGAATTGATTCTCTTTACAAGAATATTATATCGAGGAAAAAGTTGATTCGACTCTATCTAATAGGCAAACCGTATTTGTTTCAATTTAATACTCTCGGTTGAACTACTAAACTTACTAAGATTCAGAATATATTCTGGTGCCAAAATATAATTTGACGTTTATGATGAACTTATGGCAGATTTGGGGATACACAAACATACTTAAGGCAAGTATCCCCTTGCACAACTTTACTTTAATTCTTAAGCTGTAAGAAATTGACCAACCAACCACAGTTCATTATTTTTAAAATAATCGATTGTGGTTGGTCAATTTATTACGACTTAAAGATTAAAGCAAGGTTGTGGACAAGGGATAACACTCATTGGAATGCGTATTCTTCCGTGCGTACCCGTCGCGACATGCGCGTCGTCTGCGAAAGTTCAAAGTCCACGGGCGCGATCCGCCGAGTCAGCCGCGCGGTGCGAGCGAATGATTTACGCGAATGTTGACAGGCGTCATTGATTCCCTTGTTCATTCATGCTGCACGTCTCGTGTAATCGCCGCACATAGGCTGCATATCCTCCTCCTTCTGCCGCTCTTAAACCTCCTTCGAGAGCGATACGCGGTATGACCGCGCTTAGGCTCATAAAAGCGAGCCGCTCGTTGTACCGCAGCACAAATTACCGGGTGATTCCCCCATGATACATTAATGTGTTGTCATAACTTAACGAAACTGTTACCCAGACGCTGTGCGGATAAGTCTCGAGATGAGAGCGATCGTTTTAGGGAGCGCGCGCGCCACTTTCCGCGTTCCCGCGAGCGAACAGACTTTTCCGAGTGACGAACGTAAAATTTAAGTGGGACGCGTACATCCGACTGGACATTGCGGCAACCATCGCCGCGTATGCATTATTCACTCGTAAAATAAGTGAGACCGTACGCATGTCTGCCCGCGGCGCCCGACCGCAGTTACCAATTCCGTTGCGCTAATTGACTCCGCGAATTTACGACTCGCGGCTGTAAAACGCAGCCGGGGTGCGCATTGGTGATGGCAATTCAGACGGCCACTGGCGACTCCTCGCCTGTTCGCGCAGTCTCAGCCGGTTTTTCCTCCCGTGACTTTTCCGACATACCGCCGTGTTTGCTTTAGCGTTATGTGGGTTAATACGCGGAGAAGACTCGGGAAGAGTTGGAGCACGCGGGCTTCGACGTTCCGAGAAATGCCACGAGATTCCGCGCACGTTAAGTGCAAGAACAATCGGCAAATCCGTGGAAGAGACTCGAGAAGAGAGGCTGAATGTAATCCTTTTTCCACGAGGGAAAAACGTCGAAAACGTTCTCGTGCCGCGACGATGGGAGTTAATTTGTTAACTGGGTCTGAATATCTGCGACGAGACAGAAGCGCGCTCACGTATGTGTTGAAATCTCACGTATGGTATTGTTTTTTCTTTATTATTTTACACACACACACACACACATACGCCTTCGGTTCAGTCGCAATGCATCGTCGTAGCTGACACTAGCGGAAACTCAACGTCGTAAGGTATCGATTCTCGAGAATCTCCGAGTCCACGCGTTTCGAGGAGTCCCTTTATACGATTTCCTTCTCCTTTTGCGTAATCCACAGCAGCCTCTCGCAGCCTGCATGCATGCATCGGGCACATCTTCGTCGTCATTATTAACGACCGTCCGTTATTACTCTGGGACAGCTGTTGCGCGCGTGTTAAAGTAGAAAATTACTCTCGCGAGATGTGTCCGTAATACCGCGCGTTTTCTTTTTAGTACTAGCGGCATAAAGGCGCGTCTTTTATCTCGTCTCTTTTACGAGCCCGTTTCGGCATCGACTGTCCCCGTTACCTAGATTTTATCGAGGAACCAAATGGGAACATGACAAAGAGGAGTAGGAGGAAGAAGGGGGGGGCACAGGCAGCCGAATGAACGGGGGACCCACGAAAAAGTAAATCGGTCAGACGAATAACGGCATTTGGCTTTGTCGACTAGTGAAAAAAAAGATGAGGAGAGAGAAAGACAGAGAGAAGAAACGGTGCAAAAGTAACCGAGATTTATTAATTTTTTTTTGCAAGGAGAACGACTCTCTGCGTTTCTCGAAATGGAAAAGATGCGGAATGTTAAAAGCAATTAGATATACGACTCTGTGTGGGAAAAGAAATTTAAGCTCGCGGTTCCCGAAAATAAAGATACTATTAATCAGCTGACGCGGAAATTGCAAAGATAAAGAGCTACGTATCACGCAAAAGGAAGGCTCCCTTTCCATTTTCCTGTGGAAGAGATTCTATATCGCAGAAATACGTATCTTCGATCGATAGTTCTCGAACGATACGTGGACTTTTGAATACAGACGTGGGAAGGGTATTCCCGAAAAGTAGGTCCTTTACTCAGAGAAGGAAGTGAGACACGAAAAGAGGGAGAAACGCGAGGAAGGAGGAGAGGCAAGAGTAGGAGGAGGTGTTGACGAAAGAGGGGCAGGAGGGGCAGGAGGAAACGAAAGGACGTAAGACAGAAAAGTATCGGCTTGCTCTCTCTCTCTCTCTCTCTCTCTCTCTCTCTCCCCCCCGTGCTTTCTTTCGGTGCAACTAACAGCTCATCGTAACGTGGTGGTGTGCTCGTCGCGATGGGTCCAATGTCTTCGATTATTCGTTTAACGGGACCCGCACACGTTCGGGACGCTGGAGAACGACAGTTTCTCCGGTGGACGGGGGTTTAGAGATTCGGCTGGCCGGCACTCAGTCTTCTTCTAGGCGGGTACGCGCATGGACTGGTTCCGGGTGCGCTGATAAGAATACGCGATATTAGCGAAACGTGGATCGTGCCGAGTCTCAGGACGACAAACTCGCGACTTTTGTCGTTGGATAGTCTGATATCACATAAAACAAGGAAAAAGATTTGTTCAATAATCACGACAATTAATTCGTAACAACTAATTTGGTGACGTCAACGCAATTTGCAAACGATTTGCAAGTGTTCCTCAACGCGCGTGCCACCACCTCGTCCATGGTGATTCATTGCTCGGTTACTGTCTACGTTATTTCGATTATCAATGAAATCATTTACGTTGTCATAATCTAGTAATTAACTCGATTGATTCGAACTGTGCGCTCCTCGTGTAAGATCGCACGTGCTCGTCTATTCTAAAGGAGTTATACTCCAGTCGCGTTTGGAAACGTGCGGTGTACATTTGAACAGATCGTCTCCGGATCAACGTGTGGACACTCGTCGCGACCTGTTCTTGAAATTCTCGACCGCTTCGGAGCGGAGTACGGCTCTTTAAATGGGTCGAACGCGGCTAATTACCGAAACCGATGGTCTCACGTCAAACGAGTGAGACTCGCCGGCAGAGCACACGCGGATGTGCAACGAGTGCTCGAGGAGGATTACACGAGAAGGTGACTGACGCGAAGAAGGAAGTCTCGAGAGAGCATAGGACGAGGGGGGAGCGGGTTAAAATTTAAATATTTATCGTTTGATGAACCTCCCGCGGGACCTTCTTCGCTGCGACGACGCGCCCAGTAATTCGCCTAAACCTCAGTCGACTTTGAAGTCTCCGCCGGTGTGTATCGCCGGTGGCGCAAGAGAACAACGCGTACGTGCTGTGCTCTCTGCTGTGTGCTGTGTTTGCGCATCGTGTTTCAGCATACTAAGCGCTCCCAACCACGGGTTCCGTACTGTCGAACGTAAGTTGACACGCCGAGTTCCGGCCTCCCTCCAGGATTGACACAGTCGTCGCCTCCACCAGTGACACGCCTCGCGAAAAGTCGAACGGGCGAATCAATTGGCTTTATTGCCAAATACTCTGACATTGAATCGATAATTAAGGAACTCTTGTGAACCTCTCGTTCGTACTCTGATCGAATTAATTAGACTCGTAGCGATCGCGGGGACCAATTTGTCAGCGTTACGTAATAATCTCGATTTTAATTAATTCCCACTCCGCTATTCTTTTCTTCTTCTTCTTTTTCTTTTCTCTCTCTCTTCTCGGTGTTTACGATTATTTTATGATGATCGCGCGATAACTCGTAAAAATCATGAAAGCTATGTGTGACGCACGCATTACAGATGTCTTGTTCTCTTTTTTTCCATGAAAAGGTGTTTCTGGACCATCGAGCCAAGGATGAGGTAGGACAGCTGGTCGGCGCCAAAACTCATGGCGCAACGCCGTTAGTCATGGCGTGTCGGAACGGACACTACGACGTCGCTGAGTACCTCATCGAAAAATGTGGGGCGGACGTGGAGCAACCTGGGTCAGGTGAGAGCGCAATTCCTCACATTAACGGCCTTGTTCAGGTCGACGAACCGCCGGTGTGTATCCGGATTTTTCCGGTCATCATCTCGCCGCAACGGAGCGCTCACGAAAACTTGTGTTTACGAGTAATTCGGAAAATCCAGGCGCGAGATGAGAATCTGGACGCACTGATGTTATTGCGCAAATTAAGCCGCTTAGTTGACGTTCAGCTTGACCAGCGAATCTCGATTCGATTGACATAAGAAACAAAACATTCGATTCGCGCGATAATAACAGGTTTTCGCCAACTCTTGATTTTTAGTCTCAGATTACAAGTTAAATATTATTTGATCTAAAATTTGAATTGTAAATCTTGAAAACCTGAATTCATTTAATGTTTACAAGCTTATGTTTATTTTTTCTGATGGAAGAAACCTTTGGTCGCGAGACGTTGCACAGATTGACGGAATTTAATTTTGGCGGTATATAGCTTGAAGATGTAGCTCAATATCAGTACATTTTCCTTCAGCTTATATAGCCAAGAAAAAGTTTTCCATGTAACCTTCTCTATATTCTTTGCACTTCAATCTTCTTACTTGTACAGCACCTGTTCCATCAGTCCTTGTGTTATCCTTCTTTCATATATATTTATTTTTCGCTTCCTTATCCTATCAATGATCAAATCTTTTCTCTTTATTTCTTGTGTCCTCTTTTTCCTCTATCCTTTGTGTATTTCTGTCTTCCATTTGAACTTTCTTATATTATCTACATTACCTTAATTACCCGTTTCTTAAGATGCCTGTATTAATAACCTCTATTATCTATACACTTTTTCCGCCCTGAATCTTGCTTTGCTAGGTAACGTCTTGTTTCGTCTTCACTTACACATTATCTACGCATTCATTCCTACATATGTGTTTAAATTATTCAGATAGACACATTTCGGTACATGTATCAAGTTCAAAAAAACATTTTTATTTGTACAGTGATATATTCTAAACGTTTTTCAGATATACTTGTGTATATATTATAATTTATTAATAATTTATCTGTGCATTCGTATGAATTTATAATATATAATTTATAACATTATAGCATAAATTACAACAGAAATATGATAATATTTCAAAGAAAATTATCATATTTCCTTTATATATTTCTTTATAAAGTATATATCAAGATTACATTATGAATTTGATTAATTTAATGATATGATTACCAATATGATAATGTTAGTGTCGATATTATATCAATATCATATCGAAATGTGTAGTACCGATATTATATCGGTATTATGCAAAATTTCGGTATGATACCGGTATTAGACGTACAATATATAATATATATACCAGTATTATACTAAAATTTTCATAATACCAGTATTTACACAAATCGGTTGTTATGCTAATATCTAAAAATATTGGTATGAAAACGATATTCTTTCTTGATACCGATCTCAATCTCTAATATGTATAATATTAATAAAACTTGAAGATCAATGACAAGTGACGTGATGAACATCTTATTTCATCCAGCGTCACATCATTGATTTACTTTATTCGCGATTACTTCGACCGCTCTTGCGATTCGATCGAACCCTTCCACGAGTCGAAGTCGCTGGGTTTGACGCTAAAGGATGATTATTCGTGTGTTTTCAGTGGTCTTCGACGGCGAGACGATCGAGGGTGCGCCACCCTTGTGGTGCGCGGCGGCCGCTGGCCACTTGGCACTGGTGAAACTGCTGGTGAAACGAGGCGCCAAGGTGAACTCGATCACAAAGACGAACTCTACGCCTCTCCGCGCTGCCTGCTTCGACGGGCATTACGACATCGTCAAGTTTCTGGTGCAACACGGTGCAGGTAGGAAACGTGAAATCTCAATTATCATAAGTTGTTTACCGTTCACGAACTGAGAAAACACCTATCTCATATGTGTTGGCGTAAGTCGAGACGGATCTTCCGTAGCTTCGAGAAAAGTTTCGTAAATTTTACGAAAGTTAACCTTCTCTTTATGAAGTTTTCTTTTTCATACATAGCATTATAGAACAAGAAAATGAGAGAGAAAGACAGAGGAATACTTTAATATCGCGAAACGTTCTTGAGATGTAGACGTGTGTTATATGTGTGTGTATCTGTCTGATCGTTGTAGACATCGAGATGGCAAACCGACACGGGCACACGTGTTTGATGATCGCGTGCTACCGGGGTCACATCAAAATCGCAAAGTTCCTACTCGCGCTGAAGGCGGACGCCAACCGTAAGTCCGTAAAGGGCAACACAGCGCTGCACGACTGCGCCGAGAGCGGATCTCTGGAGATACTGAAGGTGCTCGTGGAGCACGGCGCCCAGATGGACGTAGACTCATACGGGATGACGCCACTCCTCGCGGCAGCAGTAACAGGTTAAAGCAGAAAGTTCCGTGCGCATCACACGAAGGTTCCCCCTAAAGACAGTTTGCTCGCTCGTCCGAAAGCGATCATTGTTGCAACGCTTAGACGACCGAGGGAACAACGAGCGCTGATCGAAACTTCTTCCGCGTCTTCCAGGTCACACGCATATCGTCGAGTACCTCATAGGCATGCCGCATCTGTTCAGCAGGAAAGAACGCATCGACGCGCTGGAATTGCTCGGGGCCACGTATGTGGACAAAAAGCGGGACATGATAGGCGCCCTGCAGTTCTGGAAACGAGCCATGAACGAGCGGTATGTGTCCCAGCTTCCTTTTCATGTTAGGAAATATCCAGTCCAAGGAGGGTTGCACACTTTCCGCTAAAAAACAAAATTCTACCATCCACAAAACCTACGTACATTGAGAGAAAAGTGTTTGTGACTATAATTTGTGTGTACACAGTGAAGTAATTATAATCTAGAAAACATTTTTGCAGTAAGCGCCACTGTATAATATCAATGATTATTCTCTTATGAATATTGCTCTACTACTTTTCTTATTTCTTTTTAAACCAAAAAGTTACAGCTGAGGCCGCAGTTAACTACAGATTTGTTCTTTTTAGCGGAACTGTCTGAACTACTGTACTGACGTATACTGATGCAATAAGTTAGAGCGAGACAAATATATGTTATTTCATTCTGACTTGCACTAGCGCGCACTAGTTTAAGCAGTTTAGCTAAAAAGAACAAATCTTTTATTTGCAGTGAAATTCTTCATATACATTATATGTAAATTTGATCTTCGCTGGAGGAAGAATTTTAACGTCCGGTTTGTTTTTCATTTTCTCAGATATCGGGGAGACGGTCCGGTGATATCGAAACCTAAATTTTCGCCTCTCGTAGCTGCTTACGACTTCGCCCGGGAGATATCCGAACCCGAAGCACTAGACGAATTGCTTATGGATCCGGATGAGATGCGAATGCAGGCACTAGTGATCAGAGAACGTATATTGGGACCGGCCCATCCCGACACTAGTTATTACATCCGGTACAGAGGGGCGGTTTACGCGGACGCGGGTAAATTCCGTCGCTGCATCGAGTTGTGGAATTACGCGCTCGACATGCAACAGAACATGCTAGAACCGTTGAATCCTATGACGCAAAGCTCTCTATTCAGTTTCACGGAACTCTTCAGCTTCATGGTGGGCGAAGAAGGTAGACAGACAACCAGAGGTCGCAGAGTACCGCCTGTACAACGGGAAGAGCTCTTGAGAGTCTTCGAGAAAGCCGTGAGTGTGTTGCCAGAAGAAGCGGTCGTGTCTTGACCGATATATATATATATATATATATATATATATATATATATATATATATATATATA